AAGGAGGAACACTCACTTGGAGACACAGGCTGAACTGTGCTGCCTGTGCTGCCTCTTCCTTACTGAATGACATTTCATAAGCATACCACTGCACTCAGTTTTCAGATTCCTCAAGTATAAGCCCCTCTCCCCCTGCCCCCTCCTCTGTCATTTTCCTGTTTTTTTTTTTCTTTCTTTTTCTTTCATTCATTCTTTTTTTTTTTTTTTTTGAGATAGCATCTCACACTCTTGCCTAGTCTAACCTTGAACATACTATATAGACCAGGCTGGACATAAATTCATGGCAATCCTCCTACTTCTGCCTCCGAAGTACTGGCATTACATATGTGAGTCACCACACCCAGATATTTTTATTTAAAAAAAAAATTAAGGCAAGGTCATGCCAAAGGTCTGAGATTAGGAAATTTTTCCTTTATGCATATTCTTTGTTAGGTTTCCTATTAGATATCTTGGTTAAATATTTTTTTTTTCTACCTATCAAAAGATTGAAGATAAAGATGGAAAAAGCATGACTACCCTCATTTCCTCCAGTTTGCTTAAGGCCCAACAAAGCATTGCTTCAGGTAGAGACTGACTTGCCAGTTCTTGTAAGGATTTGCACAAGAGGAGCTAGCTATAGCTCAAACTGCAGGAGTTGGCAATAGCCAAACACCCGAATTATCACTTCGGGGTTCCTTGAAATGACCTTGCCTTGGCAGAGAACTAGGGGTGCTACAGAAACCACGCAGAGCCTGGACAAAGAAAATTACCTTTCCTAATATATCCATCCTGTAATACTTGTGGTTGAAAGTGCTAGCAGAGGTGCATACAAATGCAAAAGAAATAGAGTTTTGGCCTCAAGCTTTGTGTGCAGCTGGAAAGACAAGTGATAAATTTGTGGAACCACATATGAAAAGAATAAGTTAATAATACAGAATGCATACGAAGAATAGATGTGATTGAATAGGACTTGAGTGGTTCAGATAATGAGTGAGTGAGAGAGCATCATAAAGTAGTCAATCACTCATATTTAAAAGATACTTTTGATGATGAAAATATTTGACTTTATCACTTTTAAGTCAATATAAGTTATAATATTGATGGTGATAACTAATTATAGGACATGAAAAACACAAGTTGTTGTTTCTTGACTGCTTAGAAGATGCTGAGTACCCTTTACATAGTCATTCTGATTCTGTGAATAATATCCTCTCCCATTGGCATTGTAGGTGGGATAATAGCTAATATTTCAACAGTACAGTTCCTTGCCAATCCAAAATCTATGTCTGTGTGTGTACGTTTGTGTATACTTATACACATATGACCACATGTGTGCATGCAGAGTGCATGAGTTTCTATAAATGTGCATGCACAGGTGTGCACTTGCATGTGGAGGCTGGAGGACCTCAGGTATTTCCTCAGGTTCTGTTCAGGGTCTAGAAGGCCTCTTGTAGTCTGGAGCTACCTAAGTAGGCTAAGCTAACTGGCCAGTGAGCCCCTGAGCTCTACCTATTTCTGCCTCTCTAGTGCTAGAATTATAAGTATGTGCCACCATACTTAGAATTTTTTTTTTACATGGGTCCTAGGTATGGAACTTGGCTCCTCATGCTTTTACAGTAGGTACTTAACCAACTGAGCCATCTCCAAGTCCCCCAAACCAAAGTTTTAAGTGCAGTCAAACTCATATTTTGAGTTGACATAATTGTTGTCCTGAAGTTTTAAGATAAAATGTTATGTCAAAGACATAGTTGATAGGTAAAAGTAGCCGAAGGATGAATAGGGTTGATTGGGAGAAAGCATCCAGACAGGGATAAAACTCTCAGCAGGATAGTTTTATTTTGCATGGGACACGTTCCCTTCTGGGAAAGGAAAATGTCAGCCCATGGATTGTGAGCTAGGGCTTTTATAGGGGGACTTCAGGGTGTAGAAGGCAGGAAGTTTTTTTTTTTTTGGAAAAAATTAGGGGGGGCGGGGGGGAACAGGAAAAGTGGGGCATGTAAAACCTGTTCCCTTATGTCTGCCAGCCAGGATCTGGGTCAGGAAGTGTTTGTTTTTGTCTTCTTAAGGGAAAAACTGCTGTGCTAAAGCAGTTCCCGAAGTCTCTGGTTAAAAAGGTGGAATCTGTTTATCTTGTCTTTGGAGATCAAAGGAAAGGCAAGCTGCCTTTTAGAAGAGTCTGCTTCCCTTGACTTCAAAGACTTATCAACTCATTTCTCTTTTCTCAGGGGCTTGCGAGGTCCATGAGACCCTGTTGGAGATGGGGAGAGCTGCTGTGGTTTGGAACCCTAATAATAGTCAGCCTACAGATGTATTTACAGAGAAAAACATTCCATGTGTCAATAAGCATGATTTTTTTAAAAAAGGAAAAATCACCACAGACTTCAGGAGTTATGAACTGTGTTACAAAAAAAGCGGGATATAATCTGGGCCTTAATTGATTTATGTAAGCAGTCTCAAATAGCAAATTCATTCCAAGCAAGGGAAAACCAGTGAGGAAACCTATAGCAATAGGAAGGCCTATGCATATGTGAATTTTATGTAGGTGGCCAGTTTGATTAGTTGGTCAGAATAGTTCAAGACACGCCCAAAATAACACAGGCTATTCCCACAGCTCTTGATTGCCTCCCAGAAGTTGAAGGTAAGACCCTATTGCTGAAGACAGGCCACACTTTGGACACAGGACTTGAAGCAATTGAGCTGGAACTGACCTGCAAGCCTCCTCCCCGAAGGCTAGCTCTCATGGTATCAGAGGATACTATATAAGCTGTGAAGGGAGAAAACTAGTCAGTGGTCCTTCCAGCCTAATAAACAATGACTGGCCCAGCAAACTATTACTATTGGTACAGTAGTGGCACTTTTATCCTGGGGGTAATCAACAGCTCTCTGAGTGAAGGGGTTTTGATAAGGGCCTATGATGCTCTACAATCTGGCTTGTATCACCTTTCTGACCTCATCACCTATCAGGCACCACCTCATTCCTACACTAATCACCCTTTTAATTCTTGCTACTGCTTGAACCCGCCAGACGTGTATCACCTTGGCGCCTTGCTATTTGCTGTTCCTTCTGTTACAAATACTTTCTGTCACATGACTTACCCTACTATGCTTTTGAAATCTTTGCTCCGATGTTATCTATGTATTAATGAGGCCTGCTCTGATCACCTCTATAATTATAGACTTTCTTGACACTCCCCATTTTTTTACAGCATTAATGCCTTCAGTCCACTCATACTTGACTTATTTTTAAGTGTTTATTGTCTCTCTCTTCCAACTAGAAATTTACTCTATGAATTTGGGATGTTTTTAAATTTTGTGTACTGTTGAATTCCAATATTTGGAATAGTATCTGGGACATAGACATTATTAATCAGCATGTACTTTTGTTCAAATAGGTTGTTAATAGGTTTTAAGGTAGAAAATCAAATTGAAGTGAGACTTTGGATTCTAAGAAAGGCCAAGTAGAAGGAAACAGAAAAAGTGTTAGATAGAGGGAGTGATATGCGTGAACCTCTATTTTAATGAAATTAATGTGATAGTAGTATGCAATTTGGACTTTTCATGGGAAATATATCAGTGGCTTAAAGTTATGTGAGTTGGCCATACATAGGAATGTATTATTAACATTGAAAAGGGGGGGGTGATATTTTAAAGAAAGCATTTAAATTTTTTATCATATTTTGTGAGTAACAGAATACTAATATTGGAGTGTAGAACTGGGGCAGATACTGTTATGACCTTAAGAGTAAAAATAAATTTGTTTATTTGGGCCAGCAGTATGGTCTTAAACACCCAAAAGGAAAGTATAACCAAAATTAAAGTCATCAGTATATTTTAAGGGTTCAAGGGATTACACAACCCAGACATTGGATGTAAGTTCTTATGTCATTTAGACAATTATCTCTCATTGATGATTTTGTTCCTAATAAGACAACGTT